AAAGAGACAAATAATCAAAAGTGACAATGTATTGCTTATTGAAAATTTAACCATTAATCGTTTTCCCTCTTCTCCTACGTATTGTATTCTGACAGTACATTGCTGCAAACTGCTTTTTTTGCATTAAAAGTTTTGACCAATTTTGTCTCTCCCTATTAGATGTAGCGTAATTCCGTATTCAAATGATGATCAAGCTGAAGTGTAAAAAGTTGTTAAAATAATAAGTTTCATCAACGATCCAATATTGCTGGTGTATCTACTACGATGATGTGGTAGCTACCGAGAAAAAAGAAGTAATATATTTCCCTCCATTTACTTTATTTAGTTACGCTTGGAGTTCGCAAGAAAAATCTTTAAAATTTCCCGACATAATTCCGTAGTGAATTTTGTCAAAACTCATTATTTCTTTTTAAAGACCTATGTTTCATCAACATGTTGCAGCAGGCCGTAAATAATTTCATTCGTTACAATTGATTTAAACAATTTTGCCCTTGATTGCTTCGAACGACACTCTCATATAAAAGTGTATTCAAAACAACTAATGCATAACTTATGCGTTAATTGTTTGTGGAAAATATGTTAGTCGTACACTATTTTGTTGCTTGAATGAAATGGTGTCAACTTATTTTTTCCATTTCATAGATAGTCGTCGTTATATCATAAATTTTTCGATTGAATTTAATAATAAGGCAGATGTCGACCGAACAACGAGCATGGTTATGTAAAAGCTGTTCAAGTACTTATTCCATTCTTGTCTCGATCTGAATTATCAAATTTACATTGGTTTACTCTGAAAATAATTCTGTTTTTTTCCTAATTAATGATGGCATCTTGACGTTTTTGAGTCTATTCAACGTGGGCTTCTGTTTCTGTTACCTCTTTCAACGTATGTAAATAGATTAGCAGTGAGTAACTTAAAATACTTAACAATGTGTTAATAGTTGATCTCCAATTAAAGTGAAGTAGTATTAAAAGGAGGCCTGAACCAATTTAATAGGAAAACTCAACATGTTTTCCTTCCTATTTCAATTTAATCACTATTTTTTTGTAAGTATGACAGGTCACTCATCGACGCAGGGAAAGAGAAAGCAATAGTATATATAGTGGAATATATATAGTAGATGGTGATAGTAGATATTTGCCTAATCGATAAGTGTTATATATTTACGGACTGTTCGGTACATCGTTTACTTTTACGAAACGCGAAAACCTTGAACGACTTGATGGTTGCTATGCTGCAGCATAATTCGTGAGAAGAAATTTAATAAATCGAACTAAAATACAGATGAAAAATAAAAACAAATAAAAATTATATTCGGTCGTGACGGATTCTGTTGTACCCATTATCGTAGTGCTGAAAACGGTTAAAAAAAAGGAAAAGAACTATATTTTCCAGGAACGGACATAACTGATTTTTCTATTTCCAGAATAAAAGCGGAGAGTGACACGGTATATGTGTTGTACTTTATGGGTAAAAAACACAGAAAGCAAAGCTGTTTACAGTTTTTGTTACATAGATGTGTTGTGGACGTGTTCTTTGAAAATTTTAGGTAATTTTCAAACTCTTTTGCAAATTTGGCGAGCGGTAGAATCTTTACCGCAGATACTACAAAGTTGCACAGACGAATAGACAGATTTGAAACTGGCCAAGAATTTATATACTTTGTGGGGTTTATGTAGCTTGCTTGTGCGTGTGTTAAATTTCATATTCGAATACTGGGTAGGCGTGTGTTTCACATTTTTGTTAAGGTGCACAGCGTCATCTACAGAGTGTACGATCAATTTCAAATTTGTTGTACATCTGCTGCTGAGTAGAGTAATGCGCAACAAGCTCAAAACAGAACAAAAACGGAAGTGTCCTCACTTCACATGATACTGCGGACGGGTCCTTGCCCCGATTTGGCCAGATGTATGAACACCCATTATTTTATTTAACAGAGTTTGCAACTAACTTATTCTATAGTACGTTATTGCAGCATTTTAAAAAAGATTAGATTGTATTAAGTAGTTTTTCCGGTTAATAGCAAAATTTGTGGAAAAAATTGTTTTCAAATAAAAAGTAAACTCTTAAGAGTCTTATTTATTAAAAAAAAAAAAAGAAAACCTTAGAATATTTAAAATAATCGTACGCATAAAAGGAAACCGAAAACAAGGAAAACAGTCTCCTAAGAGGATTCTAACAGATTTAATTAAACTAAAATGAACTATAAAGGTTAAAGGATGGCTCTTACTACCCAGTAAAGTGTTAACTAAATATCCTGTTGATTTTCAAAGAACCTTTAATCAAGGAAGTTTTCTGCCACACAGTGTCTACACATTTTGCGCACCATAAAAATGTTGCAAAACGACTGGAAATACGATTTCATAGGAAGACTGTAGGAGACAAAAGTACAAAAACCAAACAGTAGTTAAAATGATTTGTGAAGATAATAAACTTTCTTATAACCTTGAACTTAGTCTTAACAAAAGGCACAGCAATGTTTGCCTTGAAAAATATTGTATAACGTTTTCTTTTATATTTTCATATAGTATTTGTAAGAAGCTACGAAAACATTATGTGTTATATTAGTGTGCAATGGTTTTCGAGGGCAATAGTTTATAGCAAATAGACAATATTTAAGACCGAAAATACGACCATTGGTTCAAATATCGGCATTTTATAGCCATTAGAATGCCCAGTCGACTGAAAAAAATGGAAAATCAACTCAGCCCTCAAATTGCAGAAATGTATATTAACAAATTTAAAGCGAGCCGATTGGACACGTAGAAGTTCGACGTTTGAATGCTGTATGTATTGTCAATGAAAAATCGACTTAAATGAATTTCAATCAGCGAATCACTAGGCAGCAACAAAACCATAGTAGAAATTGAAAAATGAACGAACAACAAGATGAGACAAGACTAGAGATTGGCGATAAATAAGGCTACGCTACGTATGTGGTCGGTTTGGAAGTGAATACTTCAATATACGATTTTAGAATCAGATCAAACGATGGATGCTACCTCTCTGCCAGCAATCAAAGAGAGTACGGCAAGCGATTAAATGAAACCGGCTAAAATTGATCAATACAAAAGGTACTACGCCGCGCTACTGAACCTTTCTAATAGCGCAATGTTGGATTAAAAGAAAAAAGTAAATGAAAGTCACTTGGTCCAATCGTTTCGTACAGAAATTCCAGAAGTTCCACAACGATAGCACATAGTTTTACCGCAGAAAAGGCAAAAAGTGACAGATAATAAAGGCTGTCATGTACTTAAGTAAAACTTATTCTGAGCAAAAGAAAGAATTAAACACAAGAACAGTATCAAGAAACAAAAGACAAAAAAAATCTCTTAATATTTTTTCCCACAAATATTATTATGGTATCTCAGGCAGTGAATTAGTTTCACTTGTTACCTAAAATAATTGAAGATTTTACTTCGATTTTCTCAAAATTTATGGATACCTAGTTATCAAGTATAACGAAATATTTCCAAAAGCATTCTTGTGCTACGCCTTTTAACTTTAACGATCATTTATATTATAATGGCCATCCAGTGCACTCACCGGTAGCTGTACGTATCTTCATTTCTGCTTTTAAATTTCTGTTCTCTAACAACATTTTTTTAACTTAACTGACATTTATACTAATGCCCTGAAAGAGTAAGTATTGGTAGTTACTTGATTTTCTACTTTATTTATAAAAGTAAGACAGTTGTCATTGGTGAAGAGCTTTTATTACAAAAGTTTTTGCCAAAACACATACCAAAGACGAGAAATTTTAAATGGGCCCATGTGCCTTAAAGCAATTTGTCATAGAAGAGCTTATGTCCACAAAACGGATGTAATTGATCGAAATTTTATACAATTACAAATTTTCATCATTGAATACGACAAATTTGATATTTTTGTCATGTAGGTCTTATTTTTCATGGGATACAAAGAAGTGGACCTATACGGACCAAGTTCGATGAGGTTCGTTTTTGCGTTCATTTACTATTATTACAGTACTATGAGCCAATTTGTATCATGAAATATCGAAGAGTAGAAGTTTTCAGCACATAAAGATTCAACCTTCCTATGAATAGTTATATGGAAGAGAATTTCGAAAATTGCCGCAAATTTGCTCGATCCACATTCCTCACGCCTACTTAATTGATCAAAGTACTGTTACTCACTGACCTTTCTTCATCAATCTTGAAAATTGCAATTTATTATTAAATAATAACTTTGCAAAATAAGGAATCATACAGCCAGTGGTCGAAACGATGGCACAATTTTATTTTTCATTTCCAATAAGGCTCCTCCTCCAATCAATTTCTGTAGGTTGAACACAAATATTCATGGTCACACTTCAGACGAAAGTGCGAACAGATCAATATATGCCCTGGCACCGCCTGTTGCATGTGTATAAAAATTTTAACGTGTGTTTGTTGTTTTGTCAGTAATACTATCTGTTTTGCTTACTACAGTTTGGACATGGGTTATAGGGTTCTTGAACTCGATTCATCTTCTTGTTCACTTTCGATACTGTGAAAACACAAAGTCCTAGTGTAGTTACAAAAAACTGAGTAAATTCCGACTATGCTGGTTAGCAAAGTCCTTTTACTTATTTTTCTTGTCCGCGTGCTATCCAAACTTACCGAAAAAAACTGATAGCCTGATACAAATCAGTAATTCCCTATATGGGAATATAATCTCAACCAACTGCACATCGAGCCGAAACGGGGATATTGACCGAATTGCTTCGAAATGCTTAAGACTTATATTAATTGTATTTGTATTAATTTTCCAATCGCAACTACCTTTCTAAATTCAAGTTTTACGCTTCAAAAAATTGGTTGAATAAAGGCTAACAATATGGGGTCAAATTTTAGCTTCAATTCTTGCCCTAATTTAAAATATATGTAGTTCATAGAGTCTCTGATGTATATTATATAAGAAGCTTTCATCCTTCATCCTTCATCCTGGGAGATGCAGGAAGTAAGTACTTTCCTAATGTTTTCTATCTCCATTTTAGTTACATTTCCAGAGCAGAAATGGGTTTGTTCGTTGCGGTCCTAAAGACACTTATAATATTGTTAAGTGTTGCATACTCCTATCAAAATGGGGCCACGCCAAAGCTTCCTGACAGTATTAATACTATGGACTTGGAAATCAATTCCGTACATAACGGCTACTCGGAGTAAGTAATTTTCTTACAAGTTTTAATTCGATAGATATGATGATAGATACGATGCATGCGGTAAGATTATTTCCCTCAAGAAATTGGCAAGGAATTGCTAAATTTAAATAACTTTAGATTAGTTAGAATTATCGGATGGCTTCTTAAAGACGATACTAGTGAACCGTAAAATGGAAGCAATATGTTCACTTGCTGTCTACTTTGATGCATATATTTATATTTAAACAAGTAAAACCACTATAGTTAGGCTGACTATTAAATATCCTACACCGCACTGTCCAACACAATTCTTATTTCCGCTATAGTACACAAAAATTATGCTTTGTTTCTTTATAAATATTTTTCATGAGCGCATTTATGGAGAAGCGATCAATTTTCGTGACAATTCTTATAGAGGATAGGCAAAGATGGTCCAAAAAGGGTACACCTAATTTATTTCATCTTAAATTGCTATGATAATCTGATTTATATCATGACGTATAAAAGAGTACAACTTTTTGTCATATGAACTATAGCTTCCGTTATGTGAGAGAGGGTTCAGAATATTGCTCCAGCCGGTCCAATGTTTTCACACCAATTTTGAACGTCGCAACGCTAGTACACAGCGAGTTTTGTCGAGAAATTTTAATTTTTTTCATATAGCGATTTTTCAAAATAGGGTATGATCTATGAGGATCGGTCAATAAGAGGACCGATCAAAACGTTTTCAACCGTCTTTGGGTCAAAACATCTCATTGTGTCAAATTTCATCAAAATACCTCCAAATTTACGACTTTTAGCTTAAACACGATTTTACATGACAGACGGAGAGATGGGTAGACAGGTTTAGCAAAGCTAACTGAACGGTATAGTAAAATGTAGGAAGGGATATTGAAACGCGTTAGAATATATCAGTTACTTGTGTACGGTTTTTATGTGAATACATTTAACTATAAAGTATTGTTGGACGTTAGACTTTAGAGATGCATTCATCTTGTCAACCTTTCTTTTATCAGTCCCGCCGAAAATCAGTGGGTATATAAATGTGTGAATAATAAATGCATACGAACGCATAACCACGATCTGAGGAAACTAAACAAGTCGATGTCGCTTTTAACATGTTCCATGACCTGCGGCGATGTTAAGCTATGGCCTTATCCTACCACTGAAACACAAGTAAAAATGAAGCCGTTGAAGTTCACTTTGGATGCCTTACTATTGCGCCTACATACTCCGTATAGTAATGTAAGAACCTATTTTCGCTCCGTGTTCAAAATTTTTCTTGATGATCTAAAAGGTATGCAGAGGCAAAAGACTTTCAAGAACTTCGATCACGATAAAATCAAGTCCACAAAGGATCCTATTATTAAGTATGATGAAATCAGTGTAGACTTAATGCGAAATTCCACCTGCAATGAAAGTGACATTGATATTTTTCCGATTAATGTCTTCATAAATAAATATCCTGATTTGAGCTTAAGTTTGGACACCGACGAAAGCTATGAATTACATACCATATGTAAGTTTTTGCTTTTGTTTAGTATTTTAAATAAAATCAAAATACTTTTTTTTTGGTCTGTTTAGTTAATGCAGGACGCTATGAGGCAAATATAACGGCAAACTCATTTTTTGGTGCACGTCATGCTCTATCAACGTTACAACAGCTTATGTGGTTTGATGAGAGAGAAAGTTGGTGGCGCACTCTCTCTAAAATTGATATCGTAGATGCTCCCCGATTTCGCTATAGAGGTCTTATGCTTGATACTTCACGTCATTATATCTCGATAGATGCAATAAAGCGTACTATCGGAGCTATGTCACATGCAAAATTGAATCGTTTTCATTGGCATATCACTGACTCCCAAAGTTTTCCTTATGTGTCCAAGCATTATCCCGAACTGGCAGAGTATGGCGCTTATTCAAGAGAGGAGACGTACACACTTGATGATATACGGGATGTGACATCTTTCGCAAAGTTACGCGGTATTCAGATAATAACTGAAATTGATGCACCTGCCCATGCTGGTAACGGTTGGGATTGGGGTCCTAAAAAAGGACTGGGAGATCTAAGTCTATGCATTAATCAACAGCCTTGGACAAAGTTTTGTGGTCAACCCCCGTGTGGTCAATTGAACCCAAAAAACAACAACACTTTTTTGGTGTTACAAAAACTCTACGAAGAACTGCTCGATGCTACCGAGACTACGGACTATTTTCATTTGGGCGGTGATGAAGTTAATATGAACTGTTGGAAACAACATTTTGAAGATAGCGAACTGCAAGATCTTTGGTATCAATTCACGCTCGATGCTGCAGACCGGTGCGTTGTCTTTCTTTCTGTAAATGTTATTTAGTAATTGCTACGATGTTCTCTAGTCTTACGATAGCCAACAAGAATATCACACCAAAATTTGTCACAGTTTGGTCCAGTGATCTGACTAAACGTGCTCGACTTCCGCGAAGCCGTTTTGCCGTTCAAGTATGGACGGGGAATAAGGACGCTTACGCATTGCTAAGAACAGGTTATAATGTTGTATTCTCTCAAGTAAGTGCTTGGTATTTCGATTGTGGTTTTGGAAGCTATTTACCTGGTGGTAAGTGACTATTTCGAGCATAAAAATGTTGGCATAAACATAACTTAGAACTTTATACTACCTCTACCAGGGGTAGGCGTCTGCGATCCCTATCGCTCGTGGCAAGTTGTATATGGACATCGTCCTTGGGAAAAATTGCACCCATACCTGAAACAGGTATAACAATGTTTTTCGTATATAATAGCGTATAAAATGTGCACACCCCTTCCAGATTCTGGGTGGTGAAGCATGTCTATGGACCGAGCAAGTTAGCGAATGGCAGTTGGACACTCGGTTTTGGCCGCGAGCTGCCGCACTTGGGGAAAGGTAGGCGTTCATAGTTTTAATAAGTTCGCGGATTATTTTAGTATATTTGTTATTATACTGCATTAGTACAAGATTGGATCCTGATTGGTATGTGATAATAGTATTATTGTCGCTCTTCCTGTGTTTTCAGATTATGGTCAGATCCCAAGCAAAAGATTCGCGATGTTTTTAAGCGTATGTCAATATTTCGTAATCGTTTAGTTGACCTCGGCATTAAAGCAGAAGCAATATTTCCTCAATATTGTGCTGAAAATCCTGGTGAATGCGATTAAGCTTACGGCCTCGAACTTATATAAGCTTCAATAAATAAGTAAATAAAATAAAATTATCTTAACTGCGAAATGTAACGATAATTAAATTTATGGAAACAATTAAAATTGAACAAAGGTTATGCACTGGTTTTTGTACCCTAACGCTTTCTGTTTTTTGGTACACTGACTATCTTTGGCCTAAGGCCGGACGCTGTTTAAAACCGTTCGGATCGCTCACTTTTGCGCGTCTCTTGTAAGGCTTTATTTTGAAAAATTGTTATATGAAAATGAATAAAATTTTTTCGACAAAATTCGTTCTATACTAGTATTTCGACGTACTAATTTGATATGGAAAATTTGGTTCGGTTGGAGCAATTCTTTGAACCCCCTTTCCTACAATCGATCTTACGAAGAATATGGTAAAAAGGTTTGAGTTTTAACATTTCGTGGCGAAAAGTACTCCATAATTGTTAATTGACAAAGAAGTCAACCTAACCAAATTTGGACCACCTATGTCCATTTTTTGGATACCACAGCATGTAAGAATCCCCAGGAAATGTAAAGCATTATATGCCAAAACGACCTATTTACTGGTGTTCCATAATGAGAACTTATCCATGATAGCAAATTAACATAAAAATTAAATGAACCAAATTTTAATCGCACAGGTCTATTTCGTGGGCCCCATTCCACAAAAGCTATCTCATAAAAAGTAAGCCCTTCAGAAAAAGATTTCATTTTCAATATTTTATGAAAATTTATCCACAGTAACAATTTAACAAAAAGAAAGTTAACCTTGGGGAATTTGGATCATGTAGATCGATTTTTTAAACTATAACAAATAAAAGGGGTTTGGTGTGTTCATGCAGTTTATTAACTGCATTAAAATTGTAGCGGGTAATTTATGGAGGGTAAACCTTTCCAGTCTTTTTCAAAAATGATGTATTTTTCATGCCCCACATGGATGCTAAGTGTAATACTCGTTTTGTCAACGTTTTTGCGGTACACGGTATGATGTTTGAGAGATCCTATAAATTTATCAGACCTATATACCTATATCTGTATGTATGTATATATTGTAAGGAGCCAATGTCGTCCCTCCTTTTGGCCTCACAGGTTCTTCGTCTCTGAGAGGGGAGTGCTGAGTTAGGTGAAGATTAGGATTAAATAAACTACTAGACGAAGGATGGGAGATAAGCGTCTGTTTCTGACTGAGATATGGTAAGATTGCCAAGAGGTCACCTGGACGGGAGTCGTAAAACAGGTGGCTCAAAATGGTCCGTGTCGAGGGATAGACCGGTCCGGTCGAATAGGGAGTCAGAATCAGGGTAGATCCGAAAGCGACAACGCGAATAAGGCAGATAAGCGAAACTTATTGCTAGACAATAATAACGAGAGTACGCTCTGAACTGGCAAAGTGTTTGTACAATTTGTAGAACCTCGATGCAAATTTATAATAAAAATTATAATGCTGTAAAATGGCTAGAACGAATGCGCTTTGATATGGAATGTAATAAGCATGTAAGTTTAATCAATCTACGGTTCTTGAAATGCTTTCGTATGGTAAAGGGATTTAACATTTCTTGATGAATTGCAAGCAAATCAAAAAAATGAATACACAAAATGAAAACTTCTGAAAAGTCGAACTATTCTTAAAACATTCAAAGAAAGCATAAAGTTCTTGTGAGTCAGAAATAGGCAAAAGCCCTCACAATATATATATTGCATCATCGCATATCACATGTATATATATATGAATGGACATATATGCGTACATCCTTGATTGGTAGTAACTTTTGAATCAATTCGACCACATATATCTGTCTATTTATAAATTAAGGATTTAATAAATTATTACGATAAAGTTAATTAGATTAAATCAGCAAAGGAGTAGTGACTCTGTTCTAGCCTGCTATATGTAAGAATTAAAGGGAGTTAAATATTTCCACAAAATACTCTCTGAAAATAACCTAAGTCGTGAACTTTGGATTACAGAAGTCGTAGACTAATACTAATCGGGACTTGGACCTGCAGCTTGAATTTGGATAAATCTTACCTAAGGTATTTATTGAAAACCAGATGAGGTTTTACTGAAATCGTACTCCATTACCACGACCACTTATACTTAGCGAACATTCATTAAAATTAGATAGAGATATAGGTCACCTTGGAAGTTCGTCGCAGGAAAATAGTGAATTTTACTCATTATCACTTCACTACGTGCATATGGACATATCCGGGTCAATTGCTTACGTCAGATGCCTGACGCATTGACAAAAAAAAACGGATAAGAGGACAGCGATGCAAGTAAATAGGTGAACGAAGATATACTTAAACGGGCTGGTGGTGGAGTAAGTTGATGAAAATATGGATACGTAGACAGGTAATTAAATGAAAAGAATGAACAACAGAAAAATGGTCGAAAGAGAGAAGAAATAAAAGAAACTTATTGAGTTGACTCGAAATCAATAATCGTCAGGATAAGCCTACAGTTTGATGAATGACTTTAAGACCAAGGTTATTTTGATTAATTATTATTTATTTATTCCACTTATACAAGAATCTCCACTAAAGCAAATTGGCAGTCGAGTTCAATTGACTCTTAAAGTAAATCTTAAATTAATTAATATTAAAAATTAGTATAAGTACAATAAAACAAATAAGAAGGAAAAAAAAAAAAGGCATGTACACAACTAGCAAAGAGCCACACTCATAACCGGTACAGGGCCGAATTGCAAGTGAATCCCTACATGCATAAGCTTGGCAACCGATAGCTTTGTCAAGATAAAGTGCCTAGAGAAGCGGTTAGGGACATTAAAGCCTATCTCACGAACTAATGCGGCCGAGTCAATTACACCATTTATTAATTTTCGTCATTAAAATTTACTGTTTTTCTATACGTAACGAAAATGGCTTTAATAGCTTCACAATGGTATTTAAGAGGCTTAAATACGCCACCTTCAAACCATGAACATGAATTGGAATAGGTCAACTGCTCAAGGTAAGTGTGTTGAAGACGATAAGTAATAAGAATGAAACATAGCATTCATCTACTTGGACACGTAAACCGATTGCAAGGCCCTCCGACACACATTCTACACGGAGGAGAGAGAACATTTTTTTAGCAAATTGCAAAAGTGTTCTCGATATCTAATAGGTGGACATTGTTGCTCGTAACCATTGGAAATTTTTTTTGATTTATTTAAAGTGTTTTCATGCGTATACGTTGCGAATCAGATCTATTCATTCGTTCGCATTTACATCAGAAAAATGCAAGAGCCTATCAATTACTTCGTTTAATTTCCACCTCAATCAGATCTCATCCTCAACCGGAGAAATAAGGCTTTAGAATTTAAATTATATTTGGAGAGATGTGCCAATTTTTTTGACCGTTAAGTGTATATAAGCAGTTTTCCAATAGTGCAGTTTTTTCCCTAGAAAAGTTGAAAATCAATGCAGCATGAACGAACAACAATCGCCTCTCCGTCCTCTCGATTTCAATGTGTGTGAAAGACAATTCATCTTTTCGATCTATGGCAATATGGATATGTGACGTCGCCCTACAATCACAATTAAACTCGTACGCAAATTAAAGAGATATTTGTTATTGTAGCCAGTGATCTAAATATTCGTTGCTTCCTAATTTTTACAAGTTACATTAACCCTTTTTTTTCTAATTCCCAAAAATTGATGAATACAATGCAAATTATCTATACGGATGACTTAATAGACAGTCTTAAGTTCTACAAAAGTGAATGTAGTTATGTGTAAAGAGCTCAAAATTTTAAAGTTTAAAACTAAAACGTGATGGTGTGGCGCTTAATTTATTCTATAGGCTACTTGTGCTGGACACAGATGTGTTATACGAATGTGTGAGTAACACATGTGTACGAAAATATTATCACAATGTGAACAAAATCGACATGCCCGCGTCCTTTTCACCATGTTTAGTGACCTGCGGCGATCTTTAGCTATTGGCTTATCCTTCCATTGAAACGCAAGCTAAAACGAAACCGTTGGGCCAAATCGGTGGGAGGACACGCATACAAAACCACATGAGGTGAGGATACTACTGTTTTTCAATGAAAATAGAAAATTGGTTTTTGCTGATATGATGGTAAGCTGCACTAGATAAATCTACAAAAATTTAAATGCATATTCTACGGCTAATGCTGTAGCCTGTATAAAATAGAAACCATCGGACGCGGCTACTCAATTTTATAGGGTATCGTAACTTCGTTTTTCTTTCTCAAAATGTTTGCAACACACAGAAGCAAGCGTCAACACCTGTTCAAAGTACATAAATAATTGTCCCGTTTCAAATTCGGAACGCATCTACGTATGTCTCTCTGTTAGCCTGTCCAACTGTGTAGTATCTGAAGTAAACATTTCCTCGATCCCAAAAATAATGAATCATGCTCTAAATATATTCTTAAGAATAATTCAGCAAAGGATCTCAAAGGCGTACTCAGATTGGTTTCCAAAGAGGCATGGACGGCAGAGAAGCTTTATATGGCATTTAGGTTCCAGTGCAGAACTGTAAAAACGTGCATGAAGACGTTTTATTTTATTTTATAAATCATGAAAAAGCGTTTGACAAGGTGCAGCCTGATAAGTTAATAGGCATCCTGAAAGCTCTTAGCATTTAGAGAAAAGTTCCACTATGCATCAAAAATTCGCTTTGGACGCAAACAGCAGAGGTCCAAAAGTAAATTTTGTCTCATCTTCTGTTTAACGTCTACTCTGAAGTAAACTTTCAAAAACCTATTCAAACAGTCGAAGCGCACATTAAAATGCGGGATCTGCGGACAATGATTCAACTCTTAAATGATCAGAATAACAGTTTAAACCGGAATATCAGCAAATGTCACTGATAACCATGTCATTAATAACCAAAATATGTAAAGCGTTCCCAAGTTTGTATACCTTGGTCCATATTATACAAAGACTGGAACATCGACGTGGAAATAAAAAATAGTATGAAAATGGCTAAGTTGGCGTACACGAAATATCAGAAAATTCTAGTAAGCCGGGAAATGGGTTAATTCCTTGGCCTTCTTTGCATGAAATGCTTCGCATGGTCGATACTCTTGTACAGTCCAGAGTC